TGTTCACAATCCGTCTGGGTCTATAGACAGTAATTAAATGCAAACCTTTGCCAACCTGTCTGAGAATGAGAGTGTCTAACGGAGACCGTTAATGTGAGGGAGATTACGACTGTTTGGAGACAGGTTGCCTCCAAGAAGGCTACCTGTGCAATCGCCATGCAATTGAAAGTGGTCCAGTTGGTTGGCACAGCTATTGGTAATAAGTAGAGCAGCTAAGCTTGTTTGCCTTATTTTTATAATCAGGTTACACTGATTAAAGGTTAAAGACTTTTATGCTGGTAGCTGCAACCATGCAACAATGTCAAGTGCAATGATTTGTATGGGGCTATGCAAGTCCACTCCCTAACTGTTATATCCCCCAGATCTACTGCATGTTGTCTAGAGATTTGTAATTCCCAAATCCAACCTAGCATAAGACTCTAAAAGGTTTTTGTTGAAACTGCAGAAAACGCTATGCAATAGACTGTATATACCCAATTATTAGAAATGTGACATTCAAGGAAGGTTTATTTCAATAATCAAGAAAATCATGCTTCAGAATTTGCAAGCAAGTACAAAAAGAGGATAAATAATTTGTCAGCAAAAAATGCTAAATAAAAAAAACATTTTCCACTTTCCAAGGATTCAGTGTTTGTCTTAGTCATTACCGTACAGGACAGACACTAAAAGCATTCCTGCTCAAATATATTTTGTTGACTTTCACATGTGCAGCGCTCATCAGAAGTGCTGCCTGCAAGCCCAACAACTGACTCACTTAAGTCCAATCAGCGACTTCATCAAATTCATTTTTGAATTGAACAAATTTGTTTTCATAAATTGTCCTGGTTCAGAATGCATATATAAAGCTACCACTTCACCTTTATTTATTTTCAAATGTTTACAGCAGAGCCCTCTGTGTGCTGCCCTCTAAACGTGCACAAAAATCAATTTTTTTGAATATTTGTCAAACTTAGACTTACTGTCTTGGATCATCAAAGAAATTTGATATTACACAGAGATAACCTGAGTAAATACAAAATGCAGTTTTTAAATCATTTATTAAGGGAACGGAAAAGGTTGTCCAAACCTACCAATGTTCTATATGAAAAACCGATTGCCCTTCAACCTAATAACTGGTTGTGCCACCCTCGGCGGAAAAATTGCAATCAGGTGTTTGGGATAACTGGCACTTCAGCTACATTGGAGATTTTTGCAATCATGAACGGCCTGTTTAAGGTAATTCTAAAGAATCTTAATTGCATTTAAGTTCACACTTTGTGCTTGAGCTTCTGTGCAGAAACTACTGGACAGACTTTCACCAGGATTTTCTGGTGGAGAGCAGAATTCATAGTTCCATCAATTATGGCAGGTCGTCCCAAAGCAGTTCCAGATCATCACACTACCAGTACTATGGTGGTGCCACAATTGTTGGTATGATGCTTTATTTTATTTTTTTATATGAAATGATGTGTTCATATTTATGATAAATGTAACGGAACTCAAACTTTCCAAAAAGTTCAACTTTGCTCTCGTCAGTCCACAGAATATTTTCCTAAAGGTTTTGGGGATCATCAAGATGTTTGGGGGGCTTTTTGGGCAAATGTGTACTCTTTTTGAACACCAGTGGTTTTCTCCTTGGACTCTCCCACGGATCCCACTTTTGCCCAGCCTCCGTCTTATTGGTGAATCATGAACTCTGACCTTAATGGAGGCAAGTGAGGTCTGGAGTTCTTTAGATGTTTTTCGGGGTTATTCTGAGACCGCCTGGATGAGTGATTGATGCGCTATTTGTGTAGTGTTGGTAGGTCGGCCATTTCTGGGAAGGTGTTTGAAGGTTTCTCTGTTTGTCGATAATGGCACTCACGGTGATTCACTGGAGTCAGAAAACCTTAGCGATAGCTTTGTAACTCTTTTGGCACTGATAGATGTAAAAGACTTTGTTTCTCGGCTATGTCTTTATATCACAGTGTGATGTGTTACTTTTTTAGATCTATTAGCCCTATTCACTTTGTCAGACAGTTTCTATGCAAGCGATTTTTTGATTCATGTTTAGCAGTAATCAGGCACAGGTGTGACTAGTGAAACTGAATTTAGCTTTCCAAAGAATTTGGCCAATCACCTTTAATTCATGATACATGAATGATGCATTTTGTACACAGGATCAGGTAGATTTGGATGGCTTGTTTCCCTTACAATGTCAAGTTTATTCCTGACAAAGAAAATAGTTAATGAGTAATTATCCATTCAGATAACAGGTGGATGTTGGGGCGTGTAGGAGTTGAAGCGAGCAGCAGCAGTGGCACATGGAGGGATATGAAACCTGCACCTTTACACAGCTACACGTACATGATGCAGTGACGTTCAAGGTGTTTGTCTGAAAAAGCTGACAGGCTTTGTTGTATCTAGGTTTGCTGCACGAATTTACACGAACCTCACAATAAAAATTTCTAAATAAATACGCTCTAATAATTGCTTTGTCGGGGATACATTTGGTTTTAAATATAATTAGCTAAATTTACAGAATGTGTGGGCCAAACCTAAGGGTCCTTTCTAATTGTACTATTAAGTGAACATGCTAACATTTAACTTCATGGCACGCAAACTTACGGTACTATCAGTGTATATAGTTGTGAAGAGAAAAGTATTCATAGGTCAAGGTCAAGGCCAAATTTATTTATATAGCACATTTCAAACAGCCGATGCTGCACAAAGTGCTTAACAATATATAGGATTCTATATTTCTTCATTATGTGTTGCTTCAGTTAATTGCAGTTTGCAAGTGTTTATTTATGCACAACCCTCTTAAAGTGGACATGAAACAGTACATGTATTAAGGCCAATTTACACCATGGAGCCCTATGCTGAAACTGTCACAGCTTTCACTCTGTCTGTGAAGCAGGATCTATGATATAGGTCTTTAAAGTTAGGGTCACTGGGCTGGCTGGTCGGTTGCTGCTAATAGACTTAAGTTATGTTAGCTAAGCAGTGACAGACCTGCTGACTCAGTGAAAAACAAGGACACTAAAACTAAAACACTGTTGGCTAGCTGCACTGAAATGAGAAAATTTACCCATTAGCCATAATGTTTGGGTTTGCTTTGTTTGGTTTTCATCAAACATGGATTTTCCCAAACATTTTCACTTTAACTCGTCTCTCCAAAGGACTTCCAGAAGTCTTGCCTTTTTTCCTCTGACAAGACATGGAACTTGGGATGGGTATCGAAACCTGGTTCTTGTTGAGAACCGGTTCCCACTGTTTCAATCCTTGGAATTGTTTGCCATTTTTGCAAACGATTCCCTTATCGATTCCAGTCGCCCCAAAATGACGTCACCACGTTGCGGAGCGTCATTTACCTGGCAGGAAACATGGTGGCTAAGCGGCGCAAACGCTCAAAACATTGGTTATACTTTACGAGAACGGATGACAACAGGGCAACTTGCAATACTTGCAAAGTAGATATTT